CAATTACCTTTAGCGCCTATCATAGCAGAGAGTGAAGAAAAGGATTGCCAAAATGCAACGAACTAATATACGGTTAAGGACAGAGAACGAAGAAATAGTGTTTGCAATGAGAAACAAGAATATATAAGATTGGTTGAAGAGTGTTTCAGCTAACGTAATATTTTGGGAAGAATGATGAGATGAATAGAAGGATGGGAGAATGGTGAGGAATTGAAAGGAAGAAAAGATTGGGGCAGAAATGCAGCCCCAGGCTAATTCATAGACTAAGAGTAAAGCAGCCAAGCTGTGGACTTAATGAATTGCCTTGTCCTGGCTAGTTATTCTTTTTTGGTCTGAAAGCACCCATCGTATCTTTTCATTCCTTTCTCAATGCAATGCATGTTCTAAGTTTAATTTCAAATTTCTACCTAAATGACCATAGGCTATTTAGCTTCCAAACTTAGTTGGATACGTATGAATTGGCTAACAATCAATCATGTGGAAATAAGGAAAAGCATAAAAGGCTGTCAGATTTCGACCTAAATGCTTCACCCTCCTTTAACATGATCCTAAATTTACCAGCATTTTTTGCTCATTCCGGCAATTTGATTGCTTATCTAAAGCGATATCTCGGACTTCCCAGAAAGAACTTGTCCTTTTATCGGTGCCTATTAATAAAATATTTATCTTCTCTGTTAAAAAGATCCTTATCATTTATGCCACTTCTTTTAAGTTCCATCTACGTTTTCAGGGAAAACTAAAATCGAGCCTAACTTCTTTTTGAGATGTAAAACAGAGCGCCATAATATATTATTGTATTGGATCTTTTTTTACATTAAATTAATTAATGTACAAAGAATTGTTAAATATAATTAATTAACGGTTGCAATATTTTATTTGCTTTTTTGAAGTTACATTAAAATATATTTTAATTAGTATAATTGTAACAATGAAATTTGAAACAATCAATAACCACAATAAAATGTTATCAGTAAGATTGGAATTATTGCGAGCCATTTAAGTGCTTATCTTCTCGCTTCAACAATTCATCTTTCCATTAATTTTGATAAATCCTACAATTATAATTTAATCATAAAATTTATAATTATTACCAGCCTTAAGGTTAATCTTTATTTGTGGTACCGATTAATTAATCATACTAGGCTCTTTCAAATATCAATCAAATGCTAGTTCATAAAACGCAATACTTATAAATTAATCCATAAAAAATGTATCTTGCTCAGAAGGGATTAAAGAGAGAGAGAGAGAGAGAGAAAAGGTAAGATAACGATATAAAAAAGAACTGTCGAAATTTGGAAAGTTAAATTATAAGTTAGTTATTATCGTTGAAACTATATATGATGGATAGATGGTAAGTATGTATATATAAGTAAGGAAAGGAAAGGAAAGGAAGAGGAAGAAGGAAGTCAATTATTGACAGGAATTGCTTATCGCACTGAACCACCCGATCTGTTGTAAATGTGAACTATTCCTTCTTATGGGAAAATTTCCTTCTTTTGCAATCATAAAAACTCAAAATTTTTTAAATTTGAAAAAAGCTGTCAGAACAAAAAATTTTTTTGCAATTATTCGATTGCAATTAATGTTAGAATGTGACAAATTATTGAGAAAAAAAGAAATTAATGAAATAAATTGGCTAATTAATAAATGAACAGGTGAAGAATGAGGTTGAAAATGATTGGTTTTTTTGTTACGAATATCGATCCCATTATCATTATCATTGATAATATGATAAGAGCAATTACATTCAAATATCCAACTAATTGGCACAGGTATGAATCTTTACTATCCTCCTCCTCCTCCTCCTTCTCTTTCATACTTCATTTTTACTTAGTCGAAAATTTTATTGACAGAAGAAAAGTGAGAGAGAGAAAAAGAGAATTATGAGAATTTAATACTTCTCATTTAAATATAAATATTTTTCCAGGGAAGATTAAAGTAACAAGTCTGAAAATTTTATTCCAACAAAGAGAAGAGATAATATCTAATAATCTTTCTCTTATCTGAATTTAATCCGCCATTCTACTGATTAGTTTTCTAGTAATTCTTGAATTTTTATCTTAATCATTGTTAAATGATTATTGTTAAATAATCCCAATGATTTATCATATTATCATTGGTGAGTCATATTTGGTTTATCATTTGATAGTAATATTCAATCAAAAATTTTATTTAAATATTTTTTTACTAATTGCAGTATATACGTTTATTTTTGCAATGAAATTCTAATCTCCGATTAGAAAATAATAAGCGCAATAAATTGATATTATATTGGAACTGGAACCATCGATTATCATCGAAAGAATTTTAATGGTCTATTTCTTATGACCGCTACTGACCGTTATTTGACCGTTACTTTTTTCATTGTTAAAAGACTTTCAATGAAATGGGCTATCTTTTTATGGTTTGCTAGTTAAAGAGCAATTAGTGAACGATCCATAATTGCAATTAATCCTTTTATATAAAATGAAAATGTCTGTGTTTAATTTTCATTAAGTTTATTTAGTTCATATTTAATTATTCATTGTTTTTTTTTAAAGAAAAGAATAACATTAAATTGATTTTGAAATGAAAAAATGGAACTACAAGCTGTCTCGTAAAATCTGTAGTTCAGATTTTAATTCAAAAACTTCAATTTCTATCACAATTTTATGAAAAGTTTAGCTAACGGTCAACTTAATCAATCACTCTAATCGATACTACCAAAAATTACATTAGAAATCATAAAACAGAAAAGTGGTAGAAAATGAAATTAAATGGAATTAATGAATGACTGTACAAACTTCAATATTATTTTTTGAAACAGCTGTTCGTTAGCTGTAACAGTTTGGAAAATAAACAAAAAGGATAACTTTGTGAATATCTAAATAAAATCTCTAAGAATGATATTTCAATCTCTGAATTTATATTTAATTCCAAAGAAAAAGATTATAATTAATTCATTTATAATTAAATTTATAACAAAAAAAATTTGTAATTAATTCCAAAATTTCAAGTTTCTTCTTTTTTTTATTAATGAATTCAATACTTGTAATGCATTAAATACAGCCATCAGTTGAACTTTTAAATCTTTCGTTTTTCAAAATAATTAAAATGATTATTGATTTCTTTTTAATTGATTATTTCTGTCCCTATTTTGTCCTTTTCTTTACATCCACCAAAATCTATTTTACAAGCGATAATTATTTATTTTAATAGTTTAATGAAATGGCTGTACCAAATTGAGCTCCGAGGACGATTGGCATGTATAAATTGCAGGAATTTGCCAGAAATTTTTAAAGTAACTATTAAATGAAACTATTTGATAAACAAAATTGTTGAATTGTTTTTAAGAAAATGATTAAAATTACTATTTGTACATATGATAAGCAAATAAAATTTGATGAAAAGTCTCATATGCTTCTCATTAAAAACTGATTATTGTTTTCCGGATGGCGATTTTTGAGAATGGTCAATGCGATTGTTTTTACTTTGGCCGCGGATAATTAATCGAATAGCAATGACACCTGGCTTTATTAGGATGAGTACCCACCTGCTCTATCATTCAAATAATCCGTTCTTCTCAAATTACATTTTAAACTTCAATGAATAAATTTATAATAGAAATTTAAGACTTCAACAATTGTTTGATTTGAAGTTAAAATCGCATCGCACAAAAAGAGGACTGATTAGGCCTATGCTAAATTTAAAATTTGGATTTCAAACAACATTTAATCTTAGTTACTCTTTAATTAACAACAGAAAACCAAGCGGGCAAAATTATGTCTTCTTGACGAAATTACGATAAGTAAAATATTTACTTTAAAAATAGAAATAGCTTTGAAGGTTTGAAAAAGCATATGAAATGAGATGAGATGGATGATTTTGGATGGAATAGACTGAAAATGGAAAAATTCAAATTGGTATAGCCAATAAATAGGAATAGAAAAATAGGTCTTTGATGCCGATGACCTTCTGGTTTTCTTCATGCAGCCGCATATCCGGCAATACCTCATACCAATGATATGCTCAGAAACATATGTACCCATAATAAACATGCATAATGATAGAGTCTCGTTTCTTGTTCCATAATAATCAAGGTCTTTCCTAAGTTCCTTTACTAACCTAACGTTCATTCCCGATATATGAAATTCATTGATGGTCAATGAATTTTAGCTTCCCATTACTGATATCACCATATTTTAAATTTTCATAACTATAATCATCTTTTTTTCTTTATTGTTTACGATCACAAATTCTGATCCATAAATATTACCGGTTTTTTGGATACTTACTTATGAATGATCATTTATCAGAGAATTGTAAAAGACTGATTTGTGATGCAATCAAAATTTTTGCTAAATATTGATTCTGAATATTGAATTTTTATTTAACTGTAAAATGTTGAAATTTATATTGGCATTGTTCGATAAAATAAAAATTCAACAATTTTCCACTTACATTTAAAAGTGAAATATAACACATTTCAATAATAACTCTTTCTTCTTTTAAATTTATTAGCTATACAGCAATAAAGACAAAATACAATGTAATCAAGTCATTGTTGATCGATCGTATTATATCATATTGATCGATCAATTGAAATTCGTGCTGTTTTAAGATCATTTACTTTCTTTCACTTTGTCACGAATAGTTCTAAATATTTGATTACACTCTCATCTTAATCTTCTTTGAATAAAAAGGAAACATTTCATTAGCATTTAATCAATTTATTCTAATTCAAATTAATTCAATAAATATTTAAATTAATTCAAATAATTTAACGTTAAGAAATATATGCATAAAATGGTACATTTTGCCATAATTTATTTTGCATTACAGATAATTTTAAATAAATTTGATCTTTCTGGTTTTATCAATAACTTAAAAACTTAAGTAATGTAATTAATAAATTAATAATATATGAAAGAATTTGATTGAAATGTTTACTAAAAAGGTAATTATTGAAAGAAAATTTTTTGGTGAAACATTAAGGTTATCTATTAGTTTCGTTGTAAAAATCAAAAATTAAATAAAGCATACAGTATTTCTTGTATGTCATCTAATGTAATTATATTGGAAATAAAAGTTCCATTAGTTCGACGTTTATTAGGGATGAAAAGTTCTTGAAAGAATGGATCCGACAATAACACTTCACCACATAAGCGTTTATTTGGACTATAAACAAGTATTCGTTGAAGAATATCGATAATTTCCTCAGATGCATAAGGTAAAATGGGTTTAAAGCCATGTGGCGCAATTTGATCATCAATTAATAGTATTGCCGCTTTCATATCCATTAGTTCTGTTTCATCCGGATTTCCAAGAGCATCCACTACTAATTTAAACTGATGTTGCGCATTTTTGCCGGGAAATAATATACTGCCTTTAGTAATTTCTCCCAATACACAACCACCAGACCAAACATCTAAATAGTATTATCATCGAAATTTATTCTCAGATTTAAACTGATATATGTTTACTTTCAACTTACACTTATAAGAAGGAGAGATTAGAAGTGAGAAAACTTACCAACTTGAGGTGAATAGAAAGTTGCTTTAAGTAAGAGTTCTGGTGGACGATAATATCGCGTGACCTTTAACAATTTTAATAGAAAATTTTGATACAATGTTAAATGTCCTTTTTTCTTTTAATAAAAATAAGAAAAAATAAAACAATTATCATTTATATAATTAATACCTGATAAAAAGTTGATTTTGTCATCTTTTTCATAAATTTTGCTGAACCAAAATCAGCAATTTTTAACATACCACTAAATGGTTCAATTAGCAAATTTTGTGGTTTTATATCACGATGGCAAATGTGATTCTGTGATATGATTTATATGGCAATCGAGGAATTCATGAGTAAATGATAAGATGATAAGATAATAAACAATATCTCAATTCATCATGGGTCAATTAATATATGAAAAAAAAACTGCAAATTCCAAAATGATAACAATTGATAAAACATTAACATGAAAAGAAAGATGGGAATTAAAAGCTATTAACATTTGACAAATAAGTCAATCCATTAAACAGCTGCCAGGAATACAATTTTATTTCGATATAGTCAGGACATTTACCACCAATTTGTTTAACGATGTTTGATATTGTTTGTGGTAAATATTCGAATATTATCGTTTCACAGATCTAAAAAAAAAGTGAAATGATTTGAAATATTTTTCGATTATTTCAAACCAAATAAATGATTTATTCATTACTTCAAAGATAATGAATGAAATTTTTCGCAAAATTTTCAGCTAATTAATAAGTAAATTTTTAATAATTAAAAGGTTAAAATAGGTATAATTGAGGTCAAATTCTTTACATGAATTTATCAATAAATGATAATGGAAGAAATATCTTTTTATCTGATGTATTGTTTCGAAATGTATACAACACTTCAATAATATTTTTATGTCTTTTATGTCCCAAATCAAGAAGCACTTTCAATTCTGTATTTGCTTGTGAGTTCATTTCCAAGTCTTAGTTAAAATTAATTAGTTCAAATATATTTCCAAATCTAAATATTATTTGTTTTTTTTTAACATTTTTGTAATTCCAAACATTTTTGGATGAAAAATTGAAAGTAACGAAAAATGGTATATCGCATTAAGAATAATACTTGGCCAAGTTTTCTTCAATGCTATTTCTTTTCGTGGCCCAGGACTAAGTAATGTACCACGATAAACATTACTGAATACACCAGAAGAATGTAATCTCAAATTTTTCATTCGTAACTGTAATTTTTACTTTATAAAGAAAAACTAAATTTTTTAATAAAATCTTTTGTCTTCTATCTAATTATCTTCGGCTAAATTCATTTGCGAACCAGATTTTTTATTTTTTTCAAATTTGAATTAACAATCTTAGTAGTTAACAATGCTGGAAACTTATTATCAGCCAATCATAATGGTTAACAATGTTGAAAACTTATTATCAGTCAATCGTAATGGTTAAACTTATCAGTCTTTTCTTGAGTAACATATTAAAAATTTCGATAATTTGAATTTGAAAAAAAATAAATATTAGAAAGATAATATAATCTCTAATGCGAAAACTTCATAATTCTTTTTTTCTTAGTAGTGATTAGCGAAAAGAAAATTATTCGGTGATATTTGAAAATTTGAAGAAATCGCAGAACTTTCACTTTCTTTTTACTTGGCAACTCGATCGCACTTTGTTCACAAATTAAATCCATATCTCTCAGCAATATTTCTACTAAATGAAATTAATTAATTAAATTTTTACATATATTTAATTAAGTCTCATTTATCTCTTCCATTTTCTCATATTACAATTTATGAAAATTTTATTTAAAATTTTTTTTAATTTAATAAAATTCATATCATATAGGAAATCTTTTATATCCCAATAATATTTATTTTAATATTTATTCATTTTTATATAAATCATCCAAATTTAATTATTTTATGGAAAAAAGATATTTCGTTATTTTACTAAATTTATTAATTAACAACTGGCAGTAATTAGAATGTATAATATACATTTTACATTACCAAGTTCCTTTGAGATTTATCTAATTTTTCTTTTACTAATTGAGATTTTTCTCAAACAATTAAATTTTACGATTACCTAAATTATCAAATTCTTCTTTGTTACTTAAAAAAGAAACATATAATACCATCTTTCCTCACATAGGTTTTATCCCATAGTTTCTTTTGAAATGAATCGTTGGACATACTGCGCCACAGCTAAACAATATAAAATGATAAATTATTCTTTAGCATTTCTTCAATTTAAATTCAAATTTGTTATATTAAAATTTTTAGGATGATGCAAATTTCAATGGCAGAAATTTTCGGGGAAATTAAAATAAATACCAAAAAGATAAAAATTTTTCGATTCGACAACGTCGCTCCCATTTCAACCATATCTTTCACTGTCTTAAAATAGCTTTTAGTTCTAATTTCACTTAAGAATTCATAATGCAAGTATGCACAGAATTTTCTATCTATGCTATATGTCCATGAAATGGACTGAAACTGAGATTTATTTCAACACTTCTCAAATTTGGTTGATTACAGACAAGGTTTAGAAATTCAATAAATATTTAATAACTGATCAAAATTACATGGGTTTTTTCTCAAAGCTAAATTACCGCTATTGAAAAGCCGACTGACCTTTGATTTCAAGATTTTTTTGATTGATTCCAACAAAGGATGAACTTAAGCATGAAATGTCATGGAAAAAACCAGTTGGGAACAAACTTCATTTTATTGAGAGAAAAGTTATAGTTGATCAAAGTTATTCGACAACATTAGAAATATTGAGGAAGTAGTTGTAGAGAAACGATGATTGCGGAGCTAAATCAGGACCTTCAGATTATGAGGCTGGCCCTGGCTATAATTAAGAAATGCGAGCTATCAGATTATGAAACTTCTGGCAGTAATTAAAATGTTCTCTTCAAATTGGGCAGTGCTCGGTGAACACCGTTTATGGTAAAGTAAACGGTTGTTCAACAAGTAGAGGACGTTAATGGTGAACAAGGGATTATAAATCATTTGACAATAATTATTGACGGAATACCGTCAATAATTGTTGTTCGTGGAATCGTACATAAAGAGAATAAACAAGACACATCATATGACAAAAACTGTAGCAATATGATCAAATTAACTGCCTATAGCAAAACAAGATATTGACAAGATCAAAGACTGGACCGCTAAGCTGATAAATATAACAGTTAATAAATGAACTTAGTAAATCCTTGATTATGTTAGAAGATGAAAGAATAGTTTGCACGGCAAGTACGGTTATACTAATTTGACGTCTATTATAAGTAATGAGTCATTTTAAAGTTTCCGATATATTTGTGCCAAATTAATCTCGGTTTCTCTGACACAAAATTTCTAAAACAAAAATTCTGCACAACAAATTGAATAGTGCTTTGCAGGAAAAATACGTCGAAAAGAAATCATCCATGGACAATAAAAAGAGAAGATTTAGACTATATTCTTGCAAAATAACAGTATTACTTTAACCAATTGCTCTTTTGAATGAAGGATGTTTAACATTATCGAATAGAAACAATGTATAGTATGAGGTCATTGAGGACGAGGCAAACATTTAACAAAGATCTGGTAACAAATCAAAACTGATGGTTAAATAAAATTATATCGGTTGTCCGAACACAGAATTAAAATTGAACTGAGGACGACAAAAAACAATAATTTTGAAACAGCACAACATTAAAAACAAAACAAAATATTGGAATATTTACAGATTCTGCACATACTACTGCACATACTACACTGATGAGAAAATGAATTAGTACAGTAATCTCAATATAACTACGAATTCTCTCCCAACATCGGCTTCTCAGCTGATGTGTCGCTAACCATGTGTCTGGTCATCTTCAACGAAATCAAATGCCTGTTCTTTCGAAACAATGTCGATGTGTGAAACCTTTAAAAAGTAGAAAAGTTGAAAAAAGTAATCAAGGCATATTGTACAACGAAAACAATGTTGTAATCCTTAGATTACACGCTTCTGTTAAACTGCTGATTAGCAATACATGAATGCTGGCAAATTCAAGAATTGGCTATACATATTAAAGGAAACTCTAAAGCTACTAACTTTGTTGCGGAACCGAACACCGTAATACTTCTCTGCACTGTCTAGCAATTCCGGTCGGAAGGTAGTCGTGATAAACTGCGCATTTTGCGACAATTCATGAATCATATCTGCAAAGTACATAATAATAAAGACAACAGTGAAACTATTTTTCGAATTACGATACAAAAGTTTGCAACAAAGTAACACTTTCTTATATTTTGGAAATTTCTAAGAAATTAAGAGAAAATACTTATGAAAATATTATTAATGAGAGACTTGAATCATATGAAACGAACCAGCTACTGCTTTTCTGTGCTGCGCATCTAGAGCTGCATCAATTTCATCAAAAAGATAAAAGGGTGCAGGATCACATTTCTGGATCGCAAATATAAGAGCCAGAGCTACTAAACTTTTCTGCCCACCCGAGAGCTGCTGCATTTCGCGAGTTTCAGATGTACCCGTAAATGAAACCTTAAAAATATTTTTAAAAAGCTTCTCACATCGTCCATTGCTAAAAGTAACACGAAGATGATTGGCACTTACTCGTATTCCAACGCCTGTGAAAGTTTCTATTTGATGCATGTCACTTTGATCCTGCGATGGTTGTGAGTCCTCATCCTATAATTTCAAAAATATTTGTACTCCTTTAAAGAATGTTAAGGACCAAGATCTTCCCATCAATAAATCAGAAGTAAAAGCTTGCTCACATGACTGACTCGCATCACCAAACTTCCATAACCACCAGGAACGAGTTTTTCGAACACAGTGTGGAAATTTTTTGAAACTTGTTTGAATGTTAACTGAATGGCTTCATATTTGCGTTGATCGAGAACGGTAAGTAAATCGCTAATTGCCTGAAAAAATAACAAAACAAAATGCCTTTATCGCTCCATTTGATACTAATTGATGTAGCATTCAGTAATTTTAAAGAAAAGGATCAAATCTCCATTCGTACACCAACCTTTTGATTGGCTCTGTGTTCATCCATTCGTTTTGCAAGATCCTCCTTTTGGCCGCTCGCCTGTACGAATTGATCGAGTGCTTTCTTATTTACATTTTCATATTTTTTCAACTGTTCTAGAGCCTCACCCAACTTCTTATCTAACTGCTTTAGAGAATAACTTTCATAGTTCTTCGAATCCATTGGTAACGAACCAAGTTCGCGTATCTGCAACATTTTAATTTATTGTTGAACGCTTTCTTTCAAAACAGAATTTATGAAATATATGTTATGGAAGACACAGAAGACAAACCTTTTTAGTAATTTCCTCTCGTTTTGTCTGCATTGCTGACTGCTTCGTACAAATTAAGTCGACTTGCTTCGAAAAATCAGCAACTTGCGCCTCTAAATCTTTTTGCTGCTCTTGACAATCTTCCAGTTCGCGAGTTAATTTCTCGTCGCTTACTTCAAATTCACCCAAATGCTCTTCCAGTTCTGTAGAAATTGATAAGGTTTAAGGATTAAGATATGAAAGGGAAACAAGTGGGATAAAAACTAACCAGAAAGTCGTGTTATTATTTCCGAAAGTCGATTATTAACAGATTTAAGTTCCGCCATTTCTGACTGAAGATGATTACGCTTTTCATCAACAGATATATCATGAATTTTCTGAAACATGGTTTAAACCAGCAAAATTAGATCAAAAATATGATGAGAAAGCTTAAAATGATAAAAATATGATGTCCAAATATAACATTCAGCAATGAAGTAATTACCGACTGCAAGCTTTCCCTTTTGCGATGAAGGTTCGTTGTCAATTGATTTTCCAGTCGTAACTTTGTGGATTCTAATTCGGTCCTTGACCGACTAACAGAATCAAGACGAATTTTTTTTCCTTTTATGTCTTCCTACAATAAATATCAACTATTATACAAAGAAAAATAATGAGTGGCTGCATCATTTTTTTGTCAACAGTGAATGGAGTAAAAGTCTTGGAAGTTACCTGTAAATGATCAAGCATGTTTTTTTCCTCGTCGCTGAGCTGCGAAAGCAAAGGCGTGCCAAGTTGTCGCTGCAAACTTTCTTTCGTCGCTTCCATTTCGCGGATTCGATTTCTCAGATATAAACGTTGTCCCACCTGCAAGTCAAAAAACTTGATCGATTTCCCTCAAACTTGATAAACGAAATCCACGAAAATTTGTTATAAAAAATGATAAAAACCTTTGGCTCTTTATTTTTTGTACTTTGCTGCAGCTGTTGTGACAAGTAACGCTTTTTTTCGGATGCGGCTCTATGCTTGTCCCTGAAAAGTCCCTCAAAGTAAACAAAAGAAAATGAAGAATTGAAGTTGTTCTTTGCAGTTTAAAAATATTTCATTCTTATCTCTCAAAATCTATTTTAAGCAACAGATGAGCACAGAATAAAAAACGAACTTCAGATACAAAACTTCACGTTCCAAAATATCAACTTCCATTCGCAACTTTTCTACGTTTGCAGCTTTATTGTTACTGGCGTAAATTGCTTTTTCAAGAGCTTCCTGGAAAGTTTTCTTATAATTCAAATAGTTAAAAGGTTCAGAAAAACCATTATGCTTCAAAAATAATTCATTTCTCCATAAAAAGGAACCTCAAATTCAACTTTGCGCGCATGCGTTTGCTGAACGGTGTTATGAAGTTCTAAAC